CTCGGGCTCGGGCTCGGGGCCGCCGGGCTCCGCCGCGCCTGCAGCCCGTCCCAGAGCGGGGGAAACTGAGGCACGGGGGAGGCGAGGGCCGTGCGCGAGGCCACCCGAGCAGGACGCGAGCCCGGTGTCCCGCGGCGGGAAGCTTGGCCTGGCTCTGCCTGGGCTGGGCCCGGGTCGCCCCTCCTGCTGCGGCTTGGGAAGCGGGGCAGGAAGCCCCCGGGGGTCCCGGGCCGCTCTGACAAGGCCCCGCTTTGTTCGCAGCGAGGAGAGGCCGGGCTGGGGGCTCTCCAAGGGGCCCAGGGCCGCGTGTGCTAGGAAGCAGGGGCCTGGGTCCCCCCTCAGCTGGGTCCAGGAGGGGGAACATCGCGCCTGCCCAGCCCCCCACCTGCCCTACCCCTCCCTCGCCGCACCGACAGAGGGTCAAGTCCCTCTGGCCGCGGGAGGGGCCGACTCCATTCCCCGCAGACCGGGCACCTGGTCCAGAGCCGGCACTGGCCCCTCCAAGGCTACTACCCCCACGAGGGTGCAGCAGCTCCCCGCCCCCGCTGTGGGGTAGGCAGGCTCCCCGGCTCCACCACCCACCAGCCGTGCCCCCCTCCTCCGGCTGAGCCCCCAGCAGCAGTAGGGACCGGTTTTGTCCCAGCTGCCTCTGGGCCCCGGCAATAGCGACCGCCCCACTGCCGGGCATTACGCAGGCTGAGGGCGAGTGCATCCGCCCAAGGGCGCAGAAGGAGGTCGCTGGGGCAGGGTTATGGCAATGAGGAGACAACAGTTTATTCCATGAAATATAAAAGCTAAGAGGAACATTTGAAGCGGACAAGCCCCAAAGCCCAGCAGGGAACCCCCAGGCAGCTGGGAGGAATCCCTGCCCAGCCCAAGCCCCCTGCCTCCGCCACCGAGGGCGTAGGTGGCAGGGAAAGGTCACCTCACCCAGCTCAGCCCCAGATCCAGTTACTGCAGCACCAGGCGCTTCGAGTTTCAGGCCCTGGCAGGCTGTAGGGGTTGGGTGGTGGTGTTGGCAGGGACAGATCGACTGCGGCGCCCATGCTCCAGTCCCACTCAGCAGGGGGTGGCAGGGCCCTGGCCCAGAGGCAGCTTGAAGGCACAGGGGGCCGCCAGCCCCACCCATGCCCTGGCTCTCGGGGACACAGAAGCCTCCTCACTCCCATCTTGGATTTCTTCCCATCCCCTCATCTCCTGCCAGGCCTCACCCCAGCCCAGCCCCGGGCATGGCGACAGGGAATGCCACAAGCCAACCCACCCCACAAGCAAGCCAAGACTGCTCCTATGGTATCTGGGAGGTGGGGAGAGGCGGACGTGCCCAGGGGACCAGTCAACGGGAGATGGGACCTGCCAGGTGCAAGCACACCCAGGCTGCAGGGGCGATGCCTCCCTCCAGCCCCTGCTCCTCTGGCAGAGACATGGGGCTGGGAAACGGGGGCTGCAGCCCAGGCCGGCTGCACCAGCTGCAGGGAGAGGCTTAACAAGTCACAGTCTAGATCAAGAAGGTGGCAGATCTCCGAGCCCAAGGGCCAGCAGGGACGTGTAGGTCACCTCGATGCTGGGCTGCTTTGTTAGCATCATAGTTCACCTCTAGGTCTCCCCCCAGGAGCAG